AATTTTCTTGAATTTTTATTTTGTATTGGGTATATACTTTATTCATTCATTTTTTTTATTTTATTTTTATTGTTATACTACTTACAAATAATAATTTTCATTCTAAATCTTACATCATTTATTGTATCTTTTATTTTTACCTATTTATAGAATATTTCCTGTAAACACAAACTAACATTTCTTATTAATAAATTTTTTTTTTTTTAAAAATATTATAAATATAACTTAATATAAGTGCAAAATGTAACTTCGCTTGATTGCAATTAAATTTCAAAATGTTCATATTTAGGATGTAACAGTTTTAATGATAGATCCGTCATGTTATTATATAATTAAACATTATTTTACGTTGCGTTGAATATTAAGGAAATATTTTGTGATTTATTTTATATTAAGAATGAAAGTTTTAAAATGATACTAAATAATAAATTTTATAGAAAATTATCATCCTATTTGTCATGTGATTTTATCATGTGAAATATATTTATCCAAAAAATTCGTTCTACATGAAAGGCATTAGATAATGATTTTCAAAATTTCATTAATGCATTTTATATTTGTCAATATTGATGATGTTTTTCAATAACCTTTTGACAAACTTATACATGATTACCCTAAAACTAAAAGTTATTTTGAACATCTTTATAAAATGCAAACATATTGAGTTCATTGTTTTACAAAATACCAGATGGAATGATAGCTCACTCTAGGGTAGAATTTATAAATGCTTGTTTAAAGAGTTTGTTTAACAATTCTAATATATTACTGTTATGTGATCTTATAATATTTAAAGGCCTCTTAATCAATAAGAAAAGAAAAGAATATGAATTCTGTCACTTATCGATTTCTAATATATGAAAATAAAATATGAATATTTTATTTATAATGATTGATCAATGCTTGTCTTTGTATTACTGTATGTATCAATACTGTTAGAGACTAAATTATCAGTAAAAAATTGTTTCTAATAGAATTTGAGATTTTCTTTGTATCAATTAGAAAAATCTAAGGGTTGTTATTGCTGCTGTTCGCTTTGTCTTAAGCCATAAATTTTTAAGTTTAAATATTGAACTATAATTGAATGTGAAATCATTTCACAAGCAACTTTATAAAATTTTTGATCATTAGGATGTTAAAAATAAAATTCAAAAAGATAATTTGAGCAAAGAGGATTATTAGATGAGTATAAGTTATTAATTAACAATTGAGATATGAGTTCATTAAAGGTTATCTCTTTATAAGTAATGAGATAAATTTGAACATCGTTGTTTGGCCTGTAATAGAATAAACATTCAGGTTCTTGAGAAGGGAATTGAGGGTTTTGAGTATATTGTAAAGATTGATTGTTATTAATAACTGACATGCTATTTGAAGGAGAAGTAGACGAATGAGAAATATTCCCACTAGAAGTTGCAGTGGGTTCGTTACTGTCTTGAGGATTGTACGAAGTAGATATTAAATAAAATGCTAAAATTTAACAATCTATGGTGTTTGTAACTATATATATATGCGTATTTATACAATCAAGAATATTAGTAAGGATGAAAAAAGTATTATATTATTCTATTGCTTATTAAGTAGTTAAAGTGAATTTTTTAATATCGTTTTTTTTTTTTAAAAAAAATAAGTAATAAAAATTCAGTTTATTTTATCACTTCTACACATTACACAATTTTTTAACGAAGTTAAGATAATTTTTTTTTAGTGTGTAAATGTGTAAAATATATATACTATATATGTAAAACAAAAATAAAGAAAGTAGTAATATAAATTATATACATATAATAAAAAAAAAATTTTTTGCTTGATATAATTGGTTAGTACAAAAATCATTTATATAGAAAATAAAGGAGTTCTTTTCCTAAAGTTGTAGGGAAATATGATTTCAATCTGTATAAAAAAAATTTTTTAACTATTTACAAACCAGTTTTTATATATTAGACTTTATCCTATTAATCTTTTATTGACACAATTGTAAAAAAGATTTGCCCTTTTTACTATGAGAAATAAGTCGTATCATAAACCTCAAAAAAAGAAGAAACAAAAGTAAAGTATTTAATTGTAATATACAAATATATTATTACAATAGATGTATGCACTCATAGCTGTCGAAAAAATATTTTGGAATTTTTAGATTTAGATTGGCAATTTGAAAATGGAAAATTTTTCTTTGTTTTACCAAGTTTAACTAGAAAGAATTTTATATTTCCATCAGTTTATTACCAATGATCATGTGAGAATGCTAAAAACCTTATCGATCAATAAAAATTACTGAGACGTCTGTATTTATGTAACTTTCTTATGCTTGTTTTATATATATATTTTATCTTAAGAGATTACTTTTTGTTAGAATCATTTAACATAATTTATTACAATCATCATTCGCTAAAAACCATGGTATAATTCTATTCACAGAGTTTGTAATAAGATTTTAAAGCTAAGTCAAAAAGTATTTAGCTTCTATTTAGTAATTATTTATGTGAAATTGTTAATTTGAAAGCTAGATAGTATTTATTATCATATAGTGCAGTTTTATGGAAACTTTACTTAATTAGACGATAATTTTTTTATTAAAATACTTAGTATTGTAACTAACGCTAATACTACACTCGGGCACGTAAATGATAATTTGCTCTACATTGTGTCACATCCTTCATGTATTATATAATTTTGAGGGCGTAAAAACTATTTGTCACTAATTATTTATCACGAACGCGATGATTTTCTGCAGTGATAAAATGCTAATTTCGTTTACGCTAAAAGTAAATTCTGCATGCATGCTGTGCATTAAAAAATACAATACATTTTATAATAAAATTTATAAATTTTGCAAATTTCTGTCAAGTTTTTATTATAATTTTTATTAAATATGATAAATGTGTATTTATTTTTTTATTATTTCAAAATAAAACTTTTATATGCTTAAATTACTATTAAAATA